GACATTGATCACCGGCCCTTTCCTCTTCCGGCTTCTGGAATCTTCCTCTTCCTCGCGGTATTCCCGGTCAGCTGCGAGGGGCAGGGATTCAAGGAGAGAGAGAGAGAGAGAGAAAGAGAGAGAGACGGGTCGGTGGGCGATGTCTGTGCACAGAGCAGGGTCTGCCCCCTTCCCGACAGCTTTCTGCCATCACTTCACGTCTCGTGCCCATCAGGACACTCGGCAAGAATGCCAACCTGTTGGGAGCCACGCAGCAGGGAGTTTTTTTTTTGAAAAAGCACTGTCGAAAGGAGGGGCTTGTCCACCACCAAGGCCCTACCTTCGAGGTCAGGCAAGGGAGGAGCAACAGAAAGAGCGAGAGGAAGGGCCTGCACAAATCTCGCGGAGAAGGCGAGAGGTCACGGAGAGAGCGGAAGGGAGGAAGACGAAGGCCGCATAACTGAACGCACTCAAACCGAAACGGGACAGACAGCGCGGCTCAGTAAAGGAGAGAAACAAAAATTAAACCAGGCCCCGAAAGCAGAGCTGGTAGAGTGGGAAATTAGGGGAAAGATGTCCAGTTCTGGTCAGTGTCGCTGAACACAGAGACCTCGGGGGTGCAGGTAGACAGGGCGGTGAAGGTGGTGTTTGGTACGCTCGCCTTTATTGGTCAGTGCGTTGAGTATAGGAGTTGGGAGGGTCATGTTGGGGCTGTACAGGACATTGGTTAGGGCCACTTTGGGAATACTGCGTTCAATCCCGGTCTCCCTGCTACAGGAAGGATGTTGGAGAGTTTGAGCTACAGGGAGAGGCTGGGGTGTCGGAGGCTGAGGGGGTGACCTTATAAAGGTTTATAAAATCATCAGGGGCATGGGTAGGGTGAATAGACAAGGTATTTTCTCCCCCAGGGTAGGGGAGAACAAAACTAGAAGAGCATAGGTTTAAGGTGAGAGGGGAAAGATTTAAAAGGGACCTGAGGGGGTAACTTTTTCACACAGAGGGTGGTGCGTGTATGGAACGAGCTGCCAGAGGAAGTGGGTGGGGGCTGGTACAGTTACAGCATTTAAAAGGCATCTGGATGGGGACATGGATAGGGAGGGTTTAGAGGGATATGGGGCCAAACGCTGGCAAATGGGACTGGATTAATTTAGGACATCTGGGTCAGCACGGACAGGTTGGGCCGAAGGGTCTGTTTCCATGCTGTACAGCTCTATGACCATGGTCGCCCAGTTATAGGAAGGATATTGTTAAACTGGAGAGGGTTCAGAAGAGATTTACCAGGATGTTGCCGGGTGTGGAAAGTTTGAGTTATACAGAAAGGCTGGGACTTTTCTCACTGGAGCATAGGAGCTTGAGAGGCGACCTGACAGTGGTTTATAAAATAATGAGAGATGTAGGTTAGCGGGAGTTATCTTTTCTCCAGTGAGGGGGATTTCGAGACTAGGGGGCACATTTTTCACTTGAGAGGATAAAGACATAGGGGCAAAGTTTTTTTTCACACAGAGGGTGGTGGAACGAGCTGCCAGAGGAATGCGGGTACAGTTACAACGTGTAAAAGACATTTGGATAAGTACATGGATAGGGAAAGGTTTGGAGGGATATGGGCCGGGAGCAGGCAGGTGTGGGACTGGTTTGGTCTGGGATGATGGGTCGGCATGGACTGGTTGGGCCGAAGGGTCCGTTTCCGCGCTGTCTGTTCCTACGAGATGGAGCGGCAGGTACTGACGGTGGGGTGGGGGTAGGGGGCTTTCAGAATGCGCAGAACAGACCCACTGCCGGAATCTGAACGGTGGTGGCTCACAGTACAACAGAAACAAGCAAAGGACAGAAAGAAAACACAAACAAGGAAACAGATTTGTGTGGGAAGGAGCTGGCTCAAAACGCCGGAGTTCCCGCAGATAGGTTTAAAAGCAAAATAACGTTAACACAGAAGAGGAGAAGGGGGAAATAAGCAGATGGGTGATAAAATCGAGCTGATGCTTTCACTGCAAATGGACAGAGAGATTCAGGGAGATTGCCAATCCCCAGAGAAGTGGGGACCGAGTCAGTTGTAGGCGCTGGGTCGTGATAGGGACCAGGGTCCTGATGGGCAGAGGTCTGCGCAGATGTGGTCAGGGGGACAGACAGCGTTGCTGAGATGGTTTCAATCTCCCGAAGCTGTTCAGGGACAGAGAATTGGAACGTGTGTGTAGGTCACACACAGTCTATCAATAATGAGATCTCTCCTTGCGCCTGCCAGGACGTATGTGCTATTTGTTCTGCGTTTAACGCAAATTAAACCAGACGGCCTTTCCTTTACCATTTCTGATTTGAGATTGCGTGAACAGATTAACTTCATCCTCCATCGCTTTATGACACAAGGTTGGGCACGGGCAAAAATATGGATTGTAATCTGGGGAAACGTGAGGTTTCGCACCTCGGCAGGAAGGAGAGAGGAGCTGATCATTATTTAAACGGGGAAAGACTGCGGAAAGCCGCAGCGCAGAGGGATTTGGGAGTGGGTGGGGGCGTGTCCTCGTCCATCAGTCACAAAACGCTGGTGCCCAGCGGGGAATGGGGAAGGTGAATGGAACGTTATTTCACAGGGAATGGAGTATAAAATCCGGGGAGGTTTCACTAAAACTGTACCAGGCGCTAGTCAGAGCCCCAGCTGGAATGTGGCGAACGGTTTGGGGGCCCCATATCCAAGCAGAGACCGACCTGGCACAGGTGGGCAGCCCAGAGAGGGTTCGCTCGGCTGATCCCGGGGACGGAGGGACTGTCTGATGAGGG